GTGGTTAGGGATTATGAGGCATGACATAGCAATGAGACTGAGTTCACAGGCTGCAAAGTAAAAACAGTGTCCTTACTTGATCATCTTCTTCTCTATACAGTGGCCAATGGGACAGAAAGTCAGCACAAAATGATGAGGCCACTGTCATGTAACCTGTGTACTTAGTGATATCATTATCCAGCCTTTGGTTTTCGAGATGAAGAAAGGGATAGAAAATTAGATTTATGTTGAATCACTTACCATAGGGTTTAGTTTACTTACCAACGGCTTTAGTAAGCTCTTTACGAACTCTTTCTTACAGGAGGGTTTTTTGTTTTGTTTTGTTTTGTCTTTGTTTTGAGATAGAGTCTTGCTGTGTTGCCCAGGCTAGAGTTCAGTGGTACGATCTTGGCTTACTGCAACCTCCGCCTCCCAGGTTCAAGCAATTCTCCTGTCTCAGCCTCCCAAGTAGCTAGGACTACAGGCACCTGCCACCACGCCCAGCTAAGTTTTGTATTTTTAGTACAGATGGGGTTTCACCATATGGGTCAGGCTGGTCTTGAACTCCTGACCTCAGGTGATCCACCCACCTCAGTCTCCCAAAGTGCTGGGATTACAGATGTGAGCCACCACACCCGGCCTGTTGTTGTATTTATTTGTTTGTTTTGTTTTTAGTAGAGAATTTAGGTCTCCTGTGTTTCCCAGGCTGGTCTCAAAGTCCTGGACTCAAGCGATCCTCCCATCTCAGCCTCCCAAAGTGCTGGGGTTTTTGTTTGTTTGTTTTGTTTTTAAAGAGAAAGCGATAGCCAGTGGGTCCCTGCCTATAAAGGTGGCCTTGTGTGGGTGCACCTGTGAGTACTTCCGTGGTAGAGTGGTATACTGGTTTCGCATGGCTACTGTAATAAATTACCACAAACTTAGTGGCTTAAAACAACACAAATTCATTCTCTGTGGTTCTGGTCCTTGGTGTTCCTTAACTCGTGACCACATAACTCAAAATCTCTGTCTTATTTTATATCCCTTTTTCCTCTGTGTGTGTCTTCTTTTTTTGTCTGTGTCAGAACTCTCTGTGTCTCTGTAATACATGTAATTGTAATACATGTAATTGTATTTAGGGCCCACCTGGATTATCCAGGATAAGCGCCTCCTCTCAGTATCCTTCACTTAATCATATGTTTGGGAGTCATATATGGTAATATTCTCTCTTAGCTGTATAAGGTAATATCTACAAGCTCAGGGGATTAGGAAGTGAACATATTTTTTAAGGGTGGGATTGGTGTGTATTTTTCAGCCAACTGCAGTTGGTTTTTCCAGCTATGAGTACATCTGCATCAGGAGATACCTGCAGAAGTAAATTTGGCGACATCTGCATGCCATGAGTATGCAGGGGAAGTCACCTATGAGAACCTCTTGTGTGCTGACCTGGAGTTAGAGCTGCTGTGTGTGTCTGGGGAGGAGGGTGGGAGATGGAGGTGGAGAGAATATTTTGAAAGAAACTTGAGGGAGGATACCAAATGTACAAGAAATTTTTCTAAAGCTAGTTAGTAACTGGTTTGAGAAAGTCTAATTTAAGAGGTAATAACCTCAAGCTAATTTTAAGAATTTTTTTTTCTGTCAACTATTTGATGATAAGCAAATATTAACCAAATTATGGAGACTGAATTTAGAGAACTTGTGTGCCAGTGTGACAATTAGCAAAGTTTTGTTAGAAATACAGTGCCGGGCTGGGCATGGTGGCTCATGCCTGTAATCCCAGCACTTTGGGGGGCTAAGGTGGGCGGATCACCTGAGTTCAGGAGTTCAAGACCAGCCTGGCCAACACAGTGAAAACCCGTCTCTAATGAAAATACAAAAAATTAGCCAGGCGTGGTGGCACGTGCCTGTAGTCCCAGCTACTTGGGAGGCTGAGGCACGAGAATCACTTCAGCCCGGCAGGCGGAGGTTGCAGTGAGCCGAGATTGCACCACTGCACTCCAGCCTGGGTGGCAGAGTGAGACTCTGTTTAAAAAAAAAAAAAAAAGAGCCATCCCATAGAATCATAGAATATTAATTTGGTTAATACTTGCTTATCATCAAATAGTTGAGAAAGAAAAAAAATACTCTTAAAATTAGCTCGAAGTTATTACCTCTTAAATTAGACTCTTTCAAACCAGTTGTCACTTAGCTTTAGAAAAATCTCCTGTACATTTGATATCCTCCCTCAAGATCCTTTCAAAATACTTATTTGCGTATGTTTTGATCTTAAACTTAAACCTTTTTTATTGTCACACACACCTCCTCTCGCTGTATTGGATCTCCTCGCTTTCTATGTCTTTGTCGTTTCCTCTATCTTTGCCTTGTCGCCTTCTGTCCTCC